ATTTTGTTCACGTTATTTCCCAATTTTCTTTATTTCTTTGTCTATATTTTCTCCAGCTCCTTGAGAATATTTAAGAGAGTTGTTTTAAAATCTTTTTCTAGTAAGTCCAATGACTAGGCTTCCTCAGACATGATTTCTGTTGCTTCATTTTGTTTCTTTGAATGGGTCTTCCTTTTTTTGTTTCTTTGTAAGCCTTGTGATTTTTTTTTTTTTTGGTTGAAAATCGGATATTTAAATATTATAATGTGATAACTCTGGATATTAGATTCTTCCTTTTCCCCAGGATTTACCTACTTTATTCATTTATTTATTTTTGGTGTTGTTGTTGTTGGTTGTTTGTTTCTTTGTTTTTGATTGCTGAAGGCTGCAGTAGTCCATTGATTTAGCAACTTTTCAAAACTATTTTGGCAAAGATTGTATTCCTTGCCATGTGTAGTCGTTAAAATCTCTGTTCCTTTAGCTTTTGGTCAGCTAGTGTTTTGACAGAGATTTCCCTGAATGCCAGGAGCTAACAACAAAACAAAAGCAAATTAACATATGCAATAAACACTCCTCCTAGTCTTACAGATTGGTTCTGTGCTGGTACAGTCCTTCAAACTTATTCAGGCTTATATTTAGGCTAGAGATCTGCCTCAGGTGAAAAGTTAGGGTTTTATGAAGTATTTTCTGAGCATACATCTTTCTCTGGGTATGTATATGGATTTCTAAATTCCCCCTTATACCCATTGCCATCAAGTTGATTCCTACTCATAGCGAGTCTATAGGACAGAGTAGAATTACCCCACAGGGTTTCGAAGGAGCAGCTGGTGGATTCGACCTGCTGACCTTTTGGTCAGCAGCCGAGCTGTTAACCACTGAGCCACCAGGGCTCCAAATTCCCCCTTACATATGGGTGCTTTTGAATACTCTAATTTTCCAAATAAACTCTCTCCCAGTTTTTCAGGCCTTACATGGTGCATTGTATGTTTCAGTTATACTTTTTTGCCCCAGGCAGCTATGGGTTGATTGTGTACATTAGAGTGTTTTTGAGCAGTGCTTGCCACTTTTCCATCTGAGTGAGTTTTCAGATAGGTGAAACAGAGATGAGTGCCTTATGTTAGTCCTTCAGGTAGGCACCAGACAGATAAGAATAGGCAAACTCAATAATCTGTTAACAAGGTCTGCTCTGTTCCCTCTGGAACCAGGGACCAGAATATCACTCTGAAACACAGGCTGCCGTCTTCAAGATGGTTGCTGAGATGGGGAGGGGATGGGGCATGGGCAAGTAAAGAAGTCATAAAGTATTCCTACCATTTTAAGTCACCTTTTTCTTGATTCAGTGTTCACTTGGTTGCTGTAAACCTTAGACTATTTTCCAGAGTTCTGACAAAGTTGGTTCTGACAGTTACTGCTTATTTTTCAATGTTTCTGTAGGGGAACAGAATCTACTTTACCATTTTGCTGACATCACTCTAGGAGGTAGCTTTTGAGCTGGTACTTGAAGGATATGGCAGAAATTGTGAGCTAGGGTGATGTGTATTCCAAGTTAGGAAACAAAGGCCTAGAGGTAGGAATGAGTAGGTCATGTCTGAGATCCAGTTTGGCCTGATCATAACCTCCAATTAGGGAAGTAATAATAGCCACTGTTTATTTTTATCTTTTACATGTCAGGGTCTTGACATATGCTATTTCTAATCCTTAAAACAATCCTATGGGGTAGATATTATTAGCCCTGGTTTATAGACAATAAAATAGAGTTTCTGGAGGGGTTGTAGGCCAAGTAAGTAACAGAGCCAAGATTTGAAGCAGAGTCTTCCTGACACCAGATCCCCTGCCTTTTCTGTTTTATCATGCTGCCTTTCTTCAGGGAGACAAAAAGCTAGTCTGGTGCCATATTGAGAAAGGTCTTGATGGCTGATGTGAGAAATTTATACTTATCTTGGAAGGCAGAGGCTGGGCAATGACAAAACCCAAACTGGTCCATAAAGACTACTGGGATCATTTGGGCAGTAGGAATGAGAGACTGAATTAGAATGGCAGTGATATAACTGGATAAAAGCGGAGTAGATACAAGAAATATGAGTCAATGGTATTTAAATTCTTAATAACTGATAGGGTAGGAGCAAGGCAGAGAGAAGAGTATATATATCTAAACTTTTGACACTCTCAGTTCTCAGAATGATGGTGCCATCAACAGAAATACAGAGGGCAGGAAGAGGAACTGCTTTGCAGGACTGAGAAGAGGGAAAATGACTGATTTGGGAGCTGGAGATGCAGGTAACTTTTGTATCTATGTGGAGATGGATGACAGACAATTGGAGACTTAGGCCTGAAGTTTGAGGCCAAGATCCAGTTATCCAAAGAGAGGTGAGAGTCAAAGCCATAGTAATCAATGAAGAATATACAGTGAGAAGAAAAAGTGCAAAACACAACCAATAGTAGCGTCTACTTATGAAGGAGGAGGAAAAAGGGAGTTCTGTTCCACACCTAGTATGTGTATATAGAGACTACTGGGATGGGTGACAAATCTTTTCTCATTAAATTTCCAATCTTGATCCTAAGATTAATTACTCTCACAAAACCATGAGCAAATAATACAAAACAACGTATTCAAGAGTCAATCTGTAGATTACAAACAGCAAGAATTATGGGATGTCAAGTAGGAGAGAGACTGATGTGGCTTGAGGTACCTAGGATGTGGGGCAGAGTGGGTAGAGCAGCACAATGTATAAGAACTGTGTATAGGAGGATACAAGTGTAACATTGCTCCAGACACAGTGACAACAACTTTCGGAGTTTTCTCTGCTGCCCAGGAGGTAGCATAGCGGGTGGAAAAGTATAAATAGACTTCAGAGTAAGGGAGACTGTGTATCTTATATCTTTTACTAGGGGGATAATATTGGGCAAATTAACTCTTTAGAACCAATTTCTTCCTTTGAAAAAGATGAGTATAATAATTAGGTTGTTGTATGAATTTGGTAAAATAATATATACAAAACACACATTCTACTGCTTTATATAGAAAAGTTGGGGAAAACATAAATAACTTTCCTTATGTTGTTTTTCTTGCTACCACTTGCACCAATGGGATACCCACATTTCCTGTTCTTCCCTCCAGTGCAGCTCCCTACAGAGACAATGCACATTTTACATGCGTGTAGAATTTTTTGTACATCCACTTATCTCCTATTCAGGCACAGCTCCAGACCCTACAGTGAGGGAGCAGTTACTGTCTCCTGCTTTTATTGATATGATCTACTCAACAAGCATTTATCGAGCGCCTACAATATCCCACGTACTGTGCTGGGCGCTCAAGATGCTTAAAGAGAATTAATCTCTGCGTAGGTAACTATGGGAGTTCAGGAGGTGGAGAAAAGTGATGGGTGGAGAGCTAGTGTGTGTGTAGTGAGCACCTAGTGAAAGGTGGCATTATTTGCAGAAGAGATCATTTAAGCTAAGTCTTGAGAGATGATAGTATTCACCACGCGGAGATTGAGGAAAGAGGATAGATATTAGAAGATATGGTGATCACAGAAGGTCTTTCAAAGCACGATTATATTAATGCCAATACCTAATGGGAGGAAACTCCGTTTTAATTGCTTTGGAGTTTTAAGCCATCAGAGGGCATACCAAACAGAATTGTAACCCTCGTGAATAAAACGGCCACAGGAACAGCAGTGGGCAACTGCAGCAGCCGCAGAGCTGCAATTATTCTTAAAATGACTGTGGTAAAGATTTATTTGGACAATTGATGAAACCTCGTAAACTCTCAGAAGCTGCCGTTTTCAGATTTCGAGTTCATCTCTATCATCCCCCAGGCCTGTTTTCTCTGCCAGGGGTGAAATGCGCAGCCAGAAAGCCCAATTAGCTTCAGGGCATAGAGAAAGGGAGGAGGTCTCCGCTGCGGATATACTTTAGCTCCTCCCGAGTCCTGCAAGGCGCAAACCTCGCCACACCAAACATGGCGCTCCTGCGGTTCCTTTCCGTGTTTTAGCTCGCCTCACCTGTTGGCCACACTCAACATGGCCTTAACTGAAGGTTGCATTCCTGTGGAGCCGTCTCGGGGTAGTTCTCGCGAGGTTTGCCTGGGCCCTGGCTGCTCCCGCCCTGCCTCGCGCCGCCGCCACTGCCACCGCCGCCGGCGCCGCTCCACCTCCGTGTCAGTTGTTGGGCTGTAATGGCGGCTGGGCCGCCGCAGCCGAAGTGACTCCCGGGCGGGGAAGCAGGGCAAGACCTGCGCCAAAGGAAACTGCAGAGAGCCGCAGCTCAGCGGGTGGCTTGCTGTGGGGGAGGGGAGGCAGCCTTTCCGCCTCTCCTTCCATCCCTGCAGACCGGCTGATCCCGGGAGCCAGTGCGAGGCGGGCGCCCGGTGTGTCCCCAGAGCGCGGAGGCCAGGCCCGGCAGCCCTGGGGCCGGTCGGGGCGGCGTCACTGCACCCTCCGCCAGGCCCCCCGGGATGCACCGTGGGAGCCGAGGGCGGAGGCGACACTCTCAGGTGAGCCGCAGGAGGACCTGGCTGGGACCGCGGACCTCCGCTGCCTCTGTCCGCGGTCCCGGCACTCCGGTGACGAGAGAGGCGGGGCGCGGGGGAGCCCTGGCCCATCCTGGCGTCCCCCCCGCCCAGGAGACCTCCCTGGGTCCTTAGGTTTTGCGGGGAGGGCCATCCTGAGACCTGGGTTTCAGGTCCCATCGGTGACTGCCGAAGACGGGATTTCCCTCCCACCTGCCAATGTTCTCTACTTTCCCACCCCTCTCATCTGCAAAAGATGTTAAGATACCTGTCGCTTTTGGTCTCTGGAGAAGTGTCTCTTCATCTGGCGATCAGGCATATTTTGGGAAATTCCGGGGAACTGGCTTCAGCGTCAGGGATGACCAGTTTCTGTTCCTTTTCGGTGGTGATAACATTCTCAAGTATAGGGAAAAACTTTGATCTTCTTCTCCAGTCTGGTAGCTGTTGAATGTAGTCTATTCGTTTTTTTCACAGCTGACTTAGGCGGAGATTTAAAAAGCTTCACGCTTTTAAAGTCAGTTTTTTTCCCCGCCCTCCTTTTAAATGCACACTAACATACTAAATGATATTTAGCTAATGTCACAGATCACAGATATCGGTTGAAATTTGTCTTGGTTTTTAGTTTTCAGGTAGGAAGTTGCACATAGGCATAGATTTTTTTAATGTTTTTACTTAGCGTTGTAGCAAATCCTTCATATCGGAGAAAGCAGTTGTCAGGAACGGTGATCAATACCCATATATTCCCACTTGATTTTTTGTTTTGTTTTGGTGGTGATCCTTGATTTGAATTTGGAGAAGTCGTTAATGAGTGTTACTATGTTAACAACACCTCCTGCCCTGTTTAAGGGTTTTAAAGGAAAGGCTGTCTTAGCAGACCTAGTAACAACCCGAAAAGTTTTGTAGAAGCAATGATAAAATACTGAAAGCTGCCCTCCGTTTTTAAAATTTCTTATTTTAAAATATTATTGTTAAACAAAGCAATGTGCTGTTTACAACATGGGATTGTGATTTGGGAGGTCACTTGTTAGACCTGTGCTAGAGATTGCTTCAAACCCACGGGCGTATAATAATTGGTTTGGTATACTAAATTGAGGAACTCCACTCAGTGTAATAAAATAAATCTGAACCATTGAACTATCATTGCATTAAATTTAGGATACTCTAATCAGCAAATAAGCTTCAAGCTAGAATACATTCTATGTGTGGGTAAATACATGTGTATCTTGTCTTTTCATAGTCAGTAGCAGGACTTTGTGCGTGTAATAATGGTGGGTTATAATATGTAAACAATCTCAAACATATGTGCAAGAATTTCTCTGATTCTCTTTGAGATATAGTTGTGTGTAGTGTTATGTAAGAGGGTTAATACTTGAACAGCCAACCTTCTGTGGGGTAATCAACCTAGTTTTTAAATTTTTTTCTTTTACTTCTATTGCCAGTTTTTTGTCCATTTTATAACATTTCTGACATGAAGAAAGGAGATGAAGTACCAGCATAGCCAATTTTGTTATTTGCTAAATTGCCATAAGTTTTAGTGGGAGCAAGAAAGGAACTATTGTCTAAAATAACTGGCATCGTTTTTGGTGTGCTTCCACATACAATATTTTATTTAGGCTTCACTGCAGTCTTGTGAGGTAGGTATGGCAAATAGCCTTATTTTGCATTGTGGAAACTGACACACAAGGACGTTCATATATTTATATGGATTTTGCTCTTATTTCTGTAGATAATCTAGAATTGGGTTTATTTTAAATTAACTATTAATGTGGATCTTTCTGGCATTTGGTATTCTTTCAAAATCTAAAGAGTATCCTATTTTTGTTCCTCTTTACATGGTACTTATGCTGATGATTGTTGGTTCTTTAAAAACATTAGTATTTTCACAGCATTTTGCTCATTATTAACAAATCATGAATTATTATAATGGATTATTTTACATATTCTTTTTGTTTGAGCAAAGTTCCTAAGAAATTGTAATTAATTTTTCGTCTTTCATTTTGTTTAGATACTCATAGTTCTGTTATCTTTGGTTCTTCAAATAATTTATACTCTTGATTATGTAAAACAAATATTTAAGTCACATGATCAGTAGCATAACTTAAAATTAGTAATGTCTTGGTGATTTTATTATAGACACAACTGATGATTTCTACAGTTGTGATTATAGAATTCATCTACAATTGTGATTGCTATTTTTGCAGTGTGGGGCAGGTTGTAAAATAATTTTCTTTATTAAGTTTTCCCCCACGTCAGGCAATTTTTAGTGTCACAGATAGTCCAAAAAAAATTACCAAAAGATTGCATGTTTTTTTCCTGCATTGATTTTTTTGTTTATCTTTATCACAAATGTAATTTTACACTTACTTGCATGTATTTTAGGTTTTTATTTGCTTTCCTTGTTTAGTCTGTAAGTTCCATGATGGCAGAGATCCTTTACTGACTGTTGGTGCCCCCAGTGCACATAACACAGTAAGGTAGTCAGTAAATATTGGTCAAATAAGTTGACTAAAGAGTGGCCCTGGGATAATACTTAAAAAGCAAAACTGGTTCAGAGTTCTGGGCACATCTCAACTCCTATGAATATATTCCAGTGGTATGTTCAGGTTTGCCAGGTAGCAGGGGAATGGCAGCCTGGGATTAAAAAGCTGCTGAAAATAAGCCACAGGTGGATCATGAAAACTTTATTGACGATTTAATGATTTGCCTAGGTGCTTTGGCAATAGTCACTGTAATTTAAAGAAAATAGAAGCTTTAAGATTCTGACCTGTTATACCACGCATTGCCGCCAGGTCAGTTCTGAATCATAGCGACCCTATAGGACAGAGTAGAACTGCCTGTAGGGTTGCCAAGGATGTAAATCTTTATGGATGCAGACTGCCACATCTTTCTCCCCTGGAGCGGCTAGTGGGTTCAAACTGCTTACCTTTTGGTTAGCAACTGAGCGCTTAAGCACTGCATTACCAGGGCTCTTATCCTGTTACACTAGTTCTATAATTATAGGCTTGTAATAACTTTATGTTTCTTAATCACAGCATTGGATGTTTTAAACCTTAAAGACCAGCTAGTCCAATCCTCATGTTTCATAGATAAAAAATACACAGAATCATATAGGGAAGTATCTCACCATAGTTGGTTTCATAACTGGAAGAAGAAATGCACTACGTAACTGCTAAATCTGTATTTAATGTGTCAGATTGTATCACATTAGAGGTGACTTTACCCTTGGATAATTGTGATCAACTTAGTGGTCTATCCTATATCAATATTAATTAAAAACTTAAAATGGGCCTCTGTTTTCATGAGTAAAAAATATTTGTTAACTTAAAAATGAATCTCAACCCTCTCTTCTGTCATTGGAACTATAAATTGGTACAACTGGAACAATCTTATGGAAGGAAATTTGGCAGTACCCATCAAAATTAAAAGGGCACACTCTTTGATAGTCATTTCACTTTTAGGAGTTTATCTTAAAGAAATTTTTACACAATACAAGAATGTTTGTTGTAGCATTATTATAAATAAATATCTATAACATTTATAAATAACTAAAAATGTCCATTGGTGGGGAATAGTTAAAATTATAGTATGAAGCACTGTGAAGTTGTTAACGGGTTGATATCTATATTTATTTTATAAGAAGCATCTGAGCGTATCCCTAAGAGCATGGACCATGCAGTGGACTCTCTGGGTTCAAATTCTGACTGCCCCACTTAACTAGATGTAACCATTAGCAAGTTACTTAACCTACTCTATAAAGCGAATATAATAATAGTTTTCACCTTACAGGGCTGTTGTGACAATTAAATGAGTTGATATTTAAGTTCTAAGAACCATGGTTAGTACCACATAAGTGTTTGCTATTATTATCATGTATGTGCTAACACAGAGTAATATTCATAATTTAATGTTGAGTGAAAAAGTAAGTTGCAATACACTGGGTAGTATGATTCAATTTTGTAAAAACAACATAGGGAAAGAAATGTAGTTTTGTTTATGATTTTGTACGTGCATATAGAAAAAGGCCTGCAAAGATAGACACGAAATTATGAGCGTGGTTATCCCTGGGGGAGTGTATATCTTTCCTTTCTTACTTTAGAAACTTTAGTCTTTTTTTGTTACAAGTTCCACTTGTGAAATTTAAAAAAATTTTTTCTAAAAAAATTTTGAAGTAGAATTTTTCTTCTATCATATAGTGATAATAAATATATTTTTGAATAGTTCTTTTCCACAGATCTACAGATTTCATCAACAGGACATCACATGAATAGATCCTATTTCAAAACTTTTTTGTTGTTGGAAGGTTGAAGTTAGTCTGTGTGAATCCCTAATAAATGTATTATTTTTCTACTAGTTTTGTGATCTTAGTTCTCAGTTTCTTAGTTTATAAAGTAAGGACATAGGATAGATCAATGTTTCTTAAATATATTCATTTCCAAACTGTGCACTAAGGTACCTTGGAGCACCACAGTGAACTCATGGGGGCACTGTGGGATGTTTTTAAATTTTTGAGGGAAACACAGTAATATTAGACGTGTGGGATATCTGTGGGATATGCAACATCTGTGGGGCTACTCAAACTACTGGTTTGAAGTTGTGCATATGAGATCATGCATTCCTTTATGATATTATGTCTTTGAAAAGTAGGTTTTGGGGGTTTGCTGTGATAAAAAGCAAGTACTGTGCAAAAGTCAGTGGGGAACAGTAAATGAAGGTGGTGATGTCCAAAATGATTATGAAGTTTGAGAAGCTGTGTAGTGTCTAGAAGGTGCGTGCATCCCATTAAGAAGTAATTGTGGCTGTTTAATAATAAAAATATTATTTCTTTCAACTTAACATGTATTTATTTTTCAAACTGCTACTAAGTAGTTAGGACATAAATACTTATTAGATCGTATGGACCTAACTATTTAATAAATGGAACCGTTAGTTATTGTTTTGGCCTAGGGGAGCCATGAAAAAATTACTTGGGACACTAAGGGTGCTAT